GGAAGGGAAGGGAAGGGAAGGGAAGGGAAGGGAAGGGAAGGGAAGGGAAGGGAAGGGAGGCGCTGCCAGAATAGCTTTGCCACTATAATGAAAAGGTAGTGCATGCCAGGAAACATACAGAGATTCCAACCCCATGCCTGGGGGAGAGTCTGTCCTGACAGAGGGTAGGTGAGGAAGGATGTCAGCCTGTTCCCTCTCCCACCCACACCTTTAAGCATGAGTTGGCAGGCTGCTTCACTAAGCATTTTCACACATCTGTACGCTACTGCTGAGAAAGATGGCACGTACTTAGTGGTGTGCAAACCGCTCTATCAGCCCTCCTCCCCTAACAATAACTATTATACATTAAGGTAAGACAAAACGCTACACTCATGGGGGAAGGCACATTAGCCATTTGTGTTACTTTCTCCTGCATTTCTCAAAGATCCTGGCTTGAGAGAGGATGCCTTTTGTTGTAGCTTTGTGTGAGGAAGGGAGGGAGTCTTTGAAAAGGAAGACACAGAAGCTGTGTAGGAAGCATGTGGAATGAATACAGTGGTTGCATTCACACCACAGGATTACTGAATTAACTCGTTTCTGTTGAATCAATTCATTTCTGTCTCATTTCTATGGAGTACAATGAATCCACATTCACCAAACCTGCAGGGTTCACCTAACAGGCTAAGCCACCATAAAACGAGCCAAGGTTAAAACCAACCAGCCCATTGTCTGAATGCAGCCTTTAGCTCTTAAACTGAACTAGTTAAGCAAATTTCATGGACCCAGCCATAACTGGGAAAGAAATCTCACTCCTAAACACACAGAAAGAATAAACCTCAAATTTGCAGAGCTACCTTCTTCCTCAGTTAGCGGTTAGTGCATTTCATCCAGACTCTTTTCTACTTTTCTCAACCTGGTACCCTCCAGATGTGTTGAGGATACAACACGCACACGTGCCGATTAACATCCACTCTCATTCACTCTTGTAGCTTCAAGTGATTCATCTGCTCAATGCTCCATTAAAGCCAGTGGGCTGCAAGAGATCCCTCAGCCTACACTTTCTGACCTGAAACAGCCAATTTATTCCACTTAAGAGTTTGTTTTAGGCTTTATATTTGTCAAAGTTTTTGGAAGGGGGCTTTGTTTCAGTCTTTGTGGGTTTTTTGGGGGGGGGTTGGGTTTTTTTGTTTTTTTTGCTACTAACCCTGCTCACTTCAGCAATATTGGGCATCGTTGCCCCACACAATAATTGCATTATCTTCAATAACAGTGCTGCCTTGGGGGCAAAAAGAGTTGTTCATTCTGACCATTATGGTCTATAGACCCACTACAGCCACGATTTCAGTGAACAGTTTCCAGCATATAGTGGACACTATGGGCACTCCTCTATATCCTTGAGTGAATGCATAGTGGTTGTATGGGATAATTTAGGCAAAGTGAGGGGAATCAAACTCACTGATGGAAGCTGTAGTCCAAAACTCAGTTGGAGGGCGGTAACCTGGAGAAACTGATGTTGGAGTTCAGTTCAGGCAGTCTGACCAAAAGATGAAGCAAAAGGGATGCTTGAAGATGGTAAGATTTTAAACTCTATTTAGGATGCAGAAAGGTGGGTCTGGCAGGTCTGAATAAGCAGGCACCATACACTAAGACATTCTCTACCTAATAAGGTAAGCCTAATTAACATAAAAGGCTGTGTTGTTCCCACCACCCCAACCAGCAGTCTGCTTCTTAGGTCCTTTACTTACATTACAAACTGAATTCAAGAGTTAAAGCTTTTACCCATCTCTGTAAATTAGAAAAATTACAGTGCATGTTTGCCAGGCAAATTGTGCAGAGGCCCCAGGTCTCTGAGCCTCCCAAACACTGAAGATAGTAACAAGTTTCTGCAGTACAGTATTTTCTGGAAGGGCAGTTAGGTTTCTAACCCACACCATACTATAAATTTAATAGAAGAGAAATCCTGAGGGGAGGGGGGAAGGCAAAATTCCTCATTCCTCAATCAAACATCATGTTATGTTAAATGCATGTTTGCATTTTCACATTTCTACCCAAACCAGAGGCGTCAGGTAAATGAGACCTTTAACTTTTATCCCATTCCACAGTAGTCTAATTAATCCCTCCCAACTTCTAGCTGTCTGGAAGAGAGCTCCCATCAATCACAATGGGAACAGGTTACGAAAATATAACTACAGACTCAAGAGACACACAGCCTCTGGGACCCAGGAACCCAAGGGTTAACTGTGCCACCTGGGAAAAAGCTCTGAGGCTGGGTGGGGCAGAAATGCAAATAGGGATGTCTGGTTGGTGCCTTGATCTTTAACCGCATCCTTCCCTCGGAGGTATATTCCCACAGAAAACATAGAACAAGTGCTTTTTATACTGGCTGGGATGGGCCAATGGGTTCCACCAGGCTTGGGAATAATAACCGTAACTGTGAAAGTTCCTCTTTCAGGCTGTGGGAGGTATAAAACAGCTACTATAGAGAATCCTTGTCCTCTAAATACTGTGAAACTACAGCCGTTCCAGACAGCTTGTCCAATGCAGCAACATTGGGAGGCTCGCTGTCCCTATGGCATGTAAGGGGGTGAATGCAAAAGCTGCATAAAGTTTGCGGCTATATGTCCTTTCCAAAACAAAGGGTGACTAGGCTCCTGAAACATGCTAAGCCAAAACATGGCTGAGTGATTTGAGGCTCAATGTATTGTGTGAAACCCATCCCCGTGATTTAGCTTGCTATTCAGTGTGTTGGGTTACTCGTTCATTAATCCAGGCAATGGGGTTAACCATGGTTAAGTAACCAAGGGTAACTGTCCTGCAAACACAGCTGACTGATGTCCCAGCCTTGGCCTGGTGTTTCCATTTGGTCATGTCACTTGTGATTCTAGGTCAGGGGTTCCTAAACTTTCTGCCATCACATCTCCCTTTAGTGTTATCTTAATGTATACACTTCTCCTAAAAATCCAAACATCAAAATTAAAACAGTACAATGAAACTTTGGGAAAGGTGGATTTATTAACTAAAAGGTTCTTCATACCTCCCCTGGACTCTGCCTGCACCTCCCCAAGGGAGGTACACATCACAGTTTGGGAAACCCTGTTGTAGATGACCTTCCAGAAACACACCTAGGGTGCTAAACAGGTGCAAACACAGGAGTTGGGATCTGGGCAAAAGGAAAGTCTGGCCTGATGTGGTTGAACTAGGAAAGGCAGACAACCCACAAGAACTTGTTCCCAGGACACTCCTAAAGTAAAAGGGGTGGGAAGAAAAAGAAAAAAAGAGGGCGGGAAAGAAAAATCAAGAATTTAATATCAGCCTTAGCCAGGCTTTATGGTGCTTCCTTTCTGCAATATGAAATATAATAGTTAATTGTCCATCCTTTGGCCATAGAAATGAAGCACCAGTGGGCTACTGGTTTGTGGACTTCTTTAATCCTTCCTACTGGTGAACTTTTCTCACGAGCACAACTATGACTGACAGTACTAATTAAATATGTTTATAAAGTGGCTTCTTCCCAGAGAAATGTGCATGAGATGACAGTAAAAGAATGATGTCATTAAGTTTAACAGTATCTCGTATGAAGGACTGCCTTTACCTAGAGGTTTTAAGAGTTTTACCCAGGGTTTTTAAACATCTGGTTAAACACTGTGATTTATATTAATTGTAGTTAATAACAATGATAACAATGGGTTTACACATTGCACAAAACCATAATATGGTTCTGATCTTGCTATAGATAGTCTAAACCTATCTTGTGACAATAGTATAATTTGCAAATCATGGTTTGGGGCTTAGTATGAGTGAATGCATCCAGTCATGGCTTGTTTAATAAACCTCAATTAAGCAAACCATGAATCCAGATCTTATTACCGAGGAAATACTTCAGTCCTTTTCTAAAGATCAATAAACTGGATTGAAATTATATACATCTAAACCATTCACAAACAACAGACTCACTGTGCACACAACTGGGCACTCATAATCAGGGGCCAAACATGACTAAGATGTCATTTCACCACAGCACAAGCACTGTGACCCCAACAATCATCATCTCATTTCTAGGTATGAAATATCAGCTTGATTTGCAGTGATGAGGGCTTATCTCTATGCTGGGCATGGGAAACTTGTTCAGCCTATGGGCCCCAATCCCTCAATGAAACCCCCCAAGAGACGAGGTCAGCAGTGATAGGAAAACAACCAAAAATGGCTGTACCCAATAGCAGAAGGGTCATTTCCTTTTTGTCTCATAAACATACACATATGAAACACTTGCATTTTCTTCTCTTCTCACTTTTTTTCTCACTTTTTTACTTTCCGTCCACTGATATCAATTAACTCTTTTCTGATCACAAGAGAAGACTTTTGGGGAAGGGTACTGATGTAACCCTGCCCTTCTATACGTCACGGTCACCATGAAAATTTGCCAATGCAGAATATTAAGCTTTTCAAGGAGCCTCTACCCCCACTAACTGAAGTACAAAAGGAAAAAAGGAGATAAACTCAGTCTCCCGCCAATTTATTCAATATAACTAGATCTTATTAATGACATAAAAGCAAGCTGGATGATTTTCTGGTGAGTTGGCAATTCTGTCTCCAAGGATTGCGTGTTTCCA